AATCCAATGCAAGTCAGCACACGGTGAGCCTCGTCAAAATCGACGGATGAACTGCCGTCGTCGTCGCCGTCGGATATTGTCGCTCGTGGCGGTCGAGCTGTTCTTATCATTCAAGCATTTGCAGAGATGCCACTTTTCGTACCTATAATCCACATCAGGACCGTTGAGCAACAGTTTTTCTCCTAAAAAACCACAGATTATATTCCACTTTTTTTGAATTCTCAGCCATGCCTTAGGAGTTTTTTTTCACTTACTGCACTTTTTGCTCAGTTACGCTTGCTGAATCGTGTTAACTAACATCACCACTTGTGATTCTATTACTTGGAACAAGTGAGTAATCGCCTACCATTATGTAATCGACCTCTTTTGAAATGTTCGGCTGTACCGATGCATTTCTTTACTACTGTGTACGAATAGGTAGTTCAAAGGCATTTGCCTGTATTTCCCATAATAAACTTGATTTGACTTGACCCCCGCCGAGGCTTGCTCCCGATATCACATCTTTGAGATCTGAAACAGAAGTTATGCGTGTGCGTCAGTTGCCCCTGTTGTGAACAACCACGTCTACAGCACATCCCATGGATCGGGTGACTAGCACGTGAATTAGGCTTGTGCTCCATCTACCACGCTCGCTCTTCCCTCACTCTTGTAACTTCCAGAGCAGGACAAGATGACCGGGTGAGGGTTAGAAAGCAGTGGTTGTCAAAGCTAAACGACTCGTCCACACGAACCGGTCCCCATTACATGTACATACAAAGGCGATTTGAATCACACCTCTGAGCCATAGTGCCCCAAACAATACCTTAAGAAGAAGTCATTAGCGCCGCCCGGCACTCAGTTCTGAAAAGAAACAAATGATTTCACCAAACCTTGACGATTAGCGAGGCGCGTGATCATGTGAAATGTCCTGATGTGCCCTTAGGGGGGACTCGATGCTGGAGTAGGCCTCTTCATCGTCCCAGGCAAACCCTGTAACAACAAAAATCCATAGGCATACGTCAATGAATTCCGCTTTTTTAAAGAGCACCTGTTATTCTTCCCGCTGGATTAAATTTTTACAAAGATTCGGAACTTCTACACAAGTCAGAAAGACTTGGAAAGGGACGAAGAGTATGAGGGGTCAAACATAAGAGCCACAACTTTACTTGCCTGCTTAACTCCCGCTGAATTTCATTTGAATGGGCAGAGTAGAA